GCAGTTACCAGCCTGCTTCTCTGGCAGTGTCCCAGTCACTCAGGCCACAGCCTGACAGGAATTCTCTTTCCATAGGCACTGGATCTGCCTCTGCCACTAAAGGCAGTTTTAACTAAATCTCTAGCATTCTGTTTATAAATAAAACTTGAGATTCAAAGGCTGGGGGGAAATGGTAGCTCGGAGAGGTTGGGTAGCACCTTCTCTCCTTGCTGGCATCTCCCAAAGAGAATGTCCTTCCACTCCGACAAACACACACACAAAAAAGGCCTCCTCACCATTCCAAATCCCTCCCTACCACTTCTGGTGTGTCTGTCTCTTTCAGAAGCCCACTGATGCTCTATGATTACTTTCTGTTAACTAGTTGCTAACTCAGCCTCCTGATCCAAGGTTAATTTTGTTTAATTAACACAAATGAAAACTCAGGATTTATAGTGTGATCAAATATCCCCCAACAGCCTCCTAGTCCAGAAAGTCAAGAACATGACAGATAGCTAAGGTAAGTCACAGGTGGGCTGGGATATATCCCAGCAACAAAAGCATTCCAAGGCCCCCAACAGGCTGGGATGACCCCACAAACATAGGGGACTAGTGCCTTTGGGGCCAACGGGATCACTAATGCTGAGTAAAGGGCTATCCCTCCCTTCTTTATACAGTTCTCTTTTATAGAACAACTATAAAAAGGCACGCCTATTAGGCAGGGTTCTTTAAAGGCACAGAACCCATCAAATGTATGTCTATTGTGGTGGTTTGAATAAGAATTACCCCCTTCCAAGGCTCATATATTTGAATTCTTAGTCACCAGGAGTAGAACTGTTTGAAAGGATTAGAAGGATTAGGAGACGTGGCCTTGTTGGAGGGTATGTGTCACTGGGGGTAGGCTTTGAGGTTTCAAAAGCCCATGCCATCCATGTCAATCTCTCTCTCTCTCTCTCTCTCTCTCTCTCTCTCTCTCTCTCTCTCTCTCTCCCTCTCTCTCTCTCTCCCTGCTGCCTGTAGATCAGGCAGTAGAACTCTCAGCTACTTCTCCAGCACCATGCCTGTCTGCATTCCACCAAGCTCCCCACTGTAACGACAATGGATTAACCTCTGAAACTGTAAGCAAGTCCCCAACTAAACGCTTTATTTTATAAGAGTTGCTTTGGTCATGGTGTTTCTTCACAGCAATAGAAGAGTGACTAAGACACTATTATAAAAGGAGATTTATTAGATTGATTTACACAGTGCAAGCTGGGTAGTTCAGTGATGGCCGTCTGAATGCTCAGAAGACTGAGAACCTCAGTACATGAAGCTGGAGTCCCAGTAGCTCCAGACAGTCAGTGAAGGCCCAGAAAGTTCTCGTAGAGTGTCTGGTCTTTGGTCCACGCTGAAAAGCTGAAGAAGCTGAATACAGTGGAGAAGGGTAGCCACAGTGACAACAGGGAGAAGTGCCCAGCAAGACGCAAGGCAGGAAAACAGATGGCACTGCTTTTGCCTGGACCTTTCTGTATCTGCACCACCAGAAGGCGCCACCCACACTGAGGGAAGAGTGTCTCCCTTCTGTTAATCCTCCAGGTGAGTCTCTTAGGTCATTGCAGGTCTTGTCAAGTTGACAAGTTGGCCATTGCAGCAGACACAGCCTACCGATTCACTGATGTTCTGGTATTTGTAGGGAGTATCTTCCTGTGACCTTTACAGTGTCCGTACATTTTAAGTGAGCTTATTCCAGACAGCAGGTAGATGGGTTTTTAAATATTTTTATCTGGTCTTATGAGGGCTTTATTTAATCTGATGTTCCTATTTAAAGTAACTGAGCATTGTTGGAATAAATTTTATTTTATTACCATTTTATTAGTTCACATATGGATTTTGTATTCAGGGTTTTTAAAAAGCTTTCTCCTCTCTCCTGTTTTCTTTGATTTTAACTACCTTACATGATTCTGCTTTTATTTCTGTTTCATCACATCACTACAACCCCTTTAATAATGTTGATGGTTGTCCTCCTTTTCTTCTTCTTCTTCTTCTTCTTCTTCTTCTTCTTCTTCTTCTTCTTCTTCTTCTTCTTCTTCTTCTTCTTCTTCTTTTTCTTCTTTTGAGACAGGGTCATTCTGTGTAGCCCTGGCTGTTCTGTAACTCAATTTGTAGACCAGTCTAGCCTGATCTCAAACTCAAAGATCTGCCTGCCTCTGCCCCTCTGCCTCTGCCCCTCTGTCCCTCTACCTCTGCCCCTCTACCTCTGCCCCTCTACCTCTGCCCCTCTGCCCCTCTGCCCCTCTGCCCCTCTACCTCTGCCCTCTGCCCCTCTGCCCTCTGCCTCTTGAGTGCTAGAATTAAAGGCATGAGCCACCATGCCCTGCTACAATGCACTTCCAACTTGTTGATACCCTGCCTCTAGCAACCAACTACTCATTTTACAGGACCCATAAAAATCATCCTTCGATGAAACCTGGGGCTCTTTAACAATCTCATTACAGCCCACTGCTCCCTCAGAATGTAATTACCTTGTGCTTTTATTTGAATAAAACCCTTTGCTACTTTGCCATCGGTGTGCACCTTTTCAATTCTTTGAAGAAAGACATCAAGAACCTGAAATACAACTGGTCCAGCCAATGGCCACTAATAACACAGGTGTCAACAGCAGGACCTCAGGACAACCAGGCAGGGTCCAGGAAGCCTGTGTACTGATTATTTTAAAATAATTAAAGTATGTTATAATTTAAAAATACATTTTGGGGTTAACAAGATGGTTGAGAGGGTAAAAGATCTTGCTGCACAAGCCTGGCTACTTGAGTTCGATTCCTAAAACCCACATGAAAGATAGGAGGAGAAGACCAATTCCATAAAGTCGTCTTCTGACCTCACACTGCAGAGGCATAAAGGGGCATCTTAGTCACTGTTATGGCAGTGAGGAGACACCAAGACCAAAAGCCACTTTGATAAAAGAAGCATCTAACTGGAGGCTTGTTTACAGTTTCAGGGGTTTAGTCCAATATCATCATGGCGGGGAACCTGGCAGCCTACATGACACTGGAGAAGGAGCCAAGAGCTTACATCCTGATCTGCTGGCTGAGAGAGAGGGGGAGAGAGAGAGAGAGAGAGAGAGAGAGAGAGAGAGAGAGAGAGAGAGAGAGAGAGAGAGACTCTGGCCTTGTCATGGGCTTTTGGAACATCAAAGTCCACCCTGAGATCCTTCACTCCTTTCTTCTTTCAGGCTACAATACTTCCTCCAATAAGGCCGCACCTCTTAATCCTTCTAATCCTTTCAAATAGTGCCACTCCCTGGTGACTAAGCATTCCAAAATAAAAAAATATGAGCCTGGGGTGGGGGGGAGATTCTTATTCGAACCACCACAAGGAGGAAGGATAGAAATTTGCTTGTTACTGTTTTCCTATTTGTGACTTCCAACTTTTTACCCTGTGCATTTATTTTTTTCCTTTTTAAGACTTTATTCTTAGTTTTCGTTAGGGGAATGCAGTTGTCTGTGTACGGGTATGTGCACCTGAATGCAGGTGCCTGAGGAGGCAGATGCCACAGGCTTCGGATCCTCTGGCATTGGAGTTACAAGTGTCTGTGAGGCACCCGATGCGGGTGCTGGGGGCCAAAGTCAAGTCTTTCACAAGAACGATAGGTGCTGTTGATAGTTGAGCCGCCTCTGCAGCCTCTCATGCCTTTCTCTCTTTCACATGAAATAAAACAATAAAATAGGAAAGCGGGAGGGTGAGAAGGGCTCCCTGTAGGTGCCTCTCCTTGTCCTGCCTTCAGGCCTTCTCTTGCTAAGATCTCTCAGACCCCTTCTATACCCTCCACCAACTCTCTCTGCCCTCTCATCTACCCTAGGCCTGACTCACCATGCCCCTTCCCCATACCTCTGTCCTCATTTGCCCTCACAAAGCTGTATAAAATCCACAGCCATGCATGAATGAGATGGACAGGAATGGTCAGAGAGAGGCTGCACAAATTTGAAGACCTGAGTTTGAATCCCTACCACCCGCATACAAATCTGAGTGTGGCCACATACATGCTCCTGTATGAGCCATGGCAGGCAGAGACAGGAGGACCATTGTTGTCAGCCCAGCCCCAGGTTCTGTGAGAGACCCTGTCTAATAGGAACAAGTGAAGAGTGAGAGAACAGGACAATCAGTGTCTGCCCTGAGTCTGTCCCTGACTTCCACATGCGCACACATGGGCACATACATCTGCACATACACAGTCATACATAAAAGAAAAACAAGATTAACCAGAAAGTTCAGAAGAGGAGGAGGAGGCAGATTTCTTCCACTTCCAGAACTTGGTTAACACCTTAGCTGGCCCTAATGTCCCTTCCCAGTGGGTCACCCTAAAATTCACAGAGCCTGGCTATGGTGGCATTAATTGTGCCCAAGAGAGGTCATCCTGAGGTTTAAGTGTGGAGAAAGATGGTCCAGAGAGAATTCACATCACCCTCCTCTGTTCTCCCTGACCCTGGATCCACTACAGACCCTGAAGGAAATCCTCAGGGGTGCTGGGATCATGTAGAGTGCCCCCTACCCAGGGACAGAACCACAGCCCTGGTTTCCCACGGCTCTGTTGCTACACCGCTGCAGACCACACTGGGTCTGGGACCACGTTTTTGTAACGTGTTGTGCTCTTGAGTTCGGATGGTTTGACACCATTACTTCAAGTTACTGCATCACAAGCGGTGGTAAATGAACACTGCCCTCTGCTTTGGGAAGAGATCTGGTTCTCAAGCAGACTCCTGGGGTGTGTGTGTGTGTGTGTGTGTGTGTGTGTGTGTGTGTGTGTGTGTCCAGACACTGAGTTTCAGGTATGCACCTATCGCCAATCTCTGTTCCTTTGCCCAGGGTTGGGATTACAGGCCCACACGGCCATGTGAATGCTGGGGATCTGGACTCCAGCCCTCACACTTTATCCATGAGCCACCTCACCAGCCCCAGGTTCCTGTTAAACCTCAAGACTGTTTCTCTCTAAATACGAGACCGAGAGTCACCGAGAAAGCAGAAAACAACACACAACACCTCGAGACTACATTCTTTCCAAAAAAGCATTTACTGAGCACTTTCTCTGTCGGGTACAGTGCAAAGCCCCGGGGCTGTGACTGGGATAGGGTGGCCTCCTTACTGAGCTCTCGGCCTGCTTACAGAAGACATGTGGGTGGCACCCCAGGGCGCCCAAGCCATCTGTGGCCTGAAAGAAGAAAGGGGTGAAGACCCTGGGAGTGTCAGCTGAGGGAAACCAGTGGATGTTCCAGAACCTACTGCATAGCAGAGTTTTTGTAGTAAGGTTTGGAAGGGATCTGCACACATTGCGTGTGCATGTCTAAGGAAGGTCCACAGCTGTGCCCAGTCCCCAGGTCTGAAAATGAGCATAAGATTTACCTCAGACTGCTGCAGGGGTCATGTAGGATGTTCTTCTATTTGTCACTTCTTCACAGCCAGGCTCAGGGATGTCCTGACGGAGTCTGGTCACAGGAGGAGAAGATGTGGGCTTCCCAGGTGAATGCCTCTGTGTCCGGGTTCACACAGCCACAACCTTGACGCCCATTTTAACCTATGGTGTGCGGCCCTCATCTCACACACGTCAGCCTTAGAGAGCTGTTGATGCCAATGGCCACGAGAACCTCTCTAGCCTAAATGCTGCCTCAGGCACTCAGGCACTCAGGCACTGAATGTGTGCTACCCATGGGGCCACAGTGTTTGCCTGGACCTCCTGACCCTCTCCACAGAAGCTGTATCTGAAGTGTGACCTCTCCAGCAGCCTGTCTACCATAGAATCCCGGTAATAAATATTACAGCTCCCTGTCCTCCTCATCCTTTGGCTGCCACTGATTATTTTGGCTGAGGTAGAATCAGATCCTTGACAGTGAGGATGGGCCCTCTGTGCCTGCCCTCATGCTGGTTCAGAAGAGATGCCGATCCTTCCCGGGGACACCAACCACCAGGTCCTTTCATGATTCTGAATGCTTGGGTGCTGTTCATGTGTTACTTTCAAGTCAGGAGTGGTGAGCACAGCTCCATTCAGAAGGTTTCCTGGAGAAGAGATGGTAATACTGAGAGGGTGAGAGGGGCAGAAGCCAAGGCCTTTGCAACTCCAAGGCAGAACAGCAGAGGTGGGAAGGAGAATGGGTGTGTTCCAACCCAAGGCCTCAGAGAACGAGTTGAAAGAAGTCATTGCTTGCACAGAATGTCCTATGGCAGAACCTGGTGGTACTGACTAGTCAGGGTCTGGCCAACCCCGACAAAGCTGTGCACATGCGCCATGCTGGCTGGCTCCAGCCTGTGGCTGAGGCAGGGCTGGTCCTTGTGATTCCCAAAGAGAAGCACTGTGACACCGCAGTGTCCTGCAGACTCCTGTCCTGTCCTGGGTAAAGAGTAGGTTTGGATGAGGCCAGTGGGTCTTTGTGAAGTCAACCCCATGAGGTTCTCTGCTTCTTGAGCTATTAGCCCTCATCGTTTTCATAGACCTCAGAGAGATTGGCTACCCCAGTCTTCATTTACAACATGAACTGCTTTCTGGTCATCAGCCTCTTTGTTCTGTGGCATGAGGGGCAGCTAAGCACATACAGCTTCCAGCAGCCCTGGGCTCAGACAAGGATTCCTTCATCTCATGCCCTCTCCCTCCCCCACATGCCCGAGCCCTGTTGTCTCTACCACATCAGGGAAACGAAGATGGAGATTCTGGTCCTTGGTTCTCCTGAATGAGGTCGTGCAGATGCAGCTCCTGCAGAAATACGAGCCTGTCCTGTGGGTGAGCCGGAGCCATGGCTGGCTTGCAAGCCCCCACTTTCAGTTATCCACAAAGAAGTCTGTGTCAGGCCAGAAGGCCATGGCAACTACGTGAAGGAGCGACTTGCCACTGTTTGCTGTCCAAAGAAAACCCCAGGATTTCTGGGCAATAGCCACAGAACCTTCACTGGGCAGCAGGGGCTCAGAGTGACTCAGGACCCCACTGAGCCTCTATCTGGAGCCCTGGGACTGAGCTGCTGGGGCTGGTTGTCCACCGAGGCACAGACCTGGGTACCTAGCCTGGAAGGTTCCAACTTGAGCTGGCTCAGGTCCAGGAAAAGGTCATGACATCTCTGGTCCTGTGGGTTGGCTGGGGAGGAGAGGCCACAGACAGCTGCTCCGTCAGGAGCGTTGCTGCTTGTCGGTTTCTTTTGCACAGTGTTGGGACCCCAAGCCTGAGGCTTCCAGAAGAGCCCATTGCCCCTATCCTGTCTGGGAGAACGGCCGTCTGGATAGATTTGCAGGGCTGCCACGTGGGCCACGCAGCCTACAAGCATGGACCCTGGATCAAGAGTACTTCCCCCATGCCCTGGTCTTAAGGGGCCTTGAGCGTGCCTCTGGCTCGCAGGTATCCCCAGTTCCTTCCGAGAGCTAGCACAGGTGGCAGGGTTTAGAGCTGTGCTTTTCCTGGAAATGCCTGTTGTCATGGTAGCTGCAGAGGAGGACCGGCCTTCGGAGAGGGCTTGTGTTCCTTCCTCTAGAGAGCCATCCTTAGATGGGACACTAACACCCCTTGCAGGCTCCCCTTGGACCTCACGCTCTCTTATAAGCAAGTCTTTGGTTCCTAGGTGTGCCCAGGGCTCCTCTCTGCTGGGTGCCAAGCATGTCCTGGCCTTGCCCATATCTAAGGTCTGGTGTTCCTTGCCTTCTAGGCTGTCTGTTGGTCCCCTGAGGGCTCTATGGGGGTCAGGTGGGGCAACAGGCTCCCTAAGGACCAGGGCAGGGGTAGGGGTAGGGGTAGGGGCAGGGGCAGGGGCAGGGGCAGGGGCAGGTGGCATCCTGCGCAACCAGTTGACAATGCCCATGGTGATGGCAAGTTCTGTGTCACAGAGCTTCAGCAGGCATTCCTTGCCCTTCCAGGTGCTCTGCAGGAAGCCCTGGCTGAGTAAGTCAGGGCCGGGCGCTGGGGCCAGGTTCTCCTCAGCTCCCACATGGAAGCTGCACATAGACAGCGGGGTCCCCAGGGCAGGCCCTGAAAGACTCTCAGACACACACAGGTCATCATCCAGGATTGGGCCAACAGGGGCCTCGCTGGGGTCATAGAAGAGTTCATAGAGGGCATCCCCACTGTAGCTGTCCCTGGGGAAAGTGGCTGCAGATGTCCCAGGGCTCACAGCTTCCTTTTTCTCCTCCTCAAGGCCCGGTGAGAAGGAGTCATAGTAGCCTTCGTCACTGGTGGACACAGATTCTGGCTGTTCACTTTTGGGGGTACCTGTGTCTACGGAGCTGGCTTTGGAGCCACTGGGGGGACCCCTGCAAGGCAACAGGGGCAGTTCAGCTAGCCCAGCTGCATCTAACCTGAGCGGGTCTGTGTCTGTCCCCTGGGGACTCCTCAGCCTTGGGCCCAGCAGGGCACGCTGTTGCTGCTTCACGGAGCGATTCACATTGTCCCAGAACTTGGTGAAGTCTGACGCTTCATTCTGGGCAGGTGATGCCAGCTGCTCCATACTACCCTGGGAGGGACCACAAGGAGTTTTGCTGTCCAGAGCTTGGGGTGAACGGGCTGGGCTCTCCGGACCTTCTTTCATCTCCACAGATGGCACCGAGCTCCCATCTGCAAAGATCTCCCCACAACCGGTAAGCGAATCGAAGCTTTTGAGGGAGGCCACATCCTCACACAGGGCGCTGCAGAGGTCAAAGGGCGAGTCGGGCAGAAACTCACTGTCAGACAGGTCCTGGCATAGGCTGTCCAGCCCCAGCCCCTCCCCCATGGAGAGGAAGGGTTTGCCTTGCTGCGCTGCAGCACCCGATGGGGTCCCAGGGGACGACAGGCTCTTCCCCTTGGCTGATAGTGAGGCCAGGTTCTCAGTTTTGCTCCTGCGGATGTGAAACAGGTTCCGAAAGCACTTCTTGGACCTCTTCAGGGAAATTCTTTTTCTTGGGATGCTCTTAGCCACCGCTGGCACGAAGGGCATCTGGGGCACAAAGTGGCGGTAGTCAATCATCCGCTGACCCCCAGGGGTCTCTGGGAAGCTCATGCTGCCCACCATCTGCCCTGTGGCGGCGGCGGCCTTCGCGGCCCCCGGCACGCTCTCATGAGTCTTGCTCTTCCGCACCAACTTGAAGGTGGTTCCGCAGAGCGGCCCGGGACCCCCTTCAGGATCAGACTGGATCTCTTTGTTGGGGCATTGGCCACACCCTTGAACACGGGGACTAGTTTGGGAACTCTTCTCTCCATAGGGTCTCTCTCCTAGTGAGAGTGACCAAGGACCTGCGTCCTCCTTGGCTGGTGCAGGGGCTGGTGGGTCTATGAGTTTCTCGTGGGAAATCTGCACGCTAGATTTGATGAAGGTCTTGCCTCTCCTCAGCTCCATGTTGCCGGTGTTCTTGCCACTGTGGAGGAAAGCAGAGGGCATTTAGTGTCTGTGATGATCACCCTCTGGTGTCAGTGTGACTGGCTTCAGAATCATCATGAAAACACTTCTTTTGGTGTGTCGCTGAGAGGTGTTTTTAAGAGTAGGTGAATTGAGATGGAAAAACACACCCTGAATTTGGAGAACAACAAGCTGAGGCCCCAGACTAAACGGAAAAAAAAAAAAGGAGACAGACTGAGGGGTAGCCTTCAATTCTTTTGGCTTCTTGATTGTGGCTACCATGTGACCAGCAGCTGCCTCTTGCTTCCCCACCGTGATTGTATGTATCCCTCCAAACTGTGAGCCAAAGCAGCCCCACCCTTAAGAAGCTTTGGGCAGGTATATTGATACTGCAACAAGAAAAGTAACTATTGCCATATCCAAATGTGTAAAGTCAGGGGGCTCTGAAAGGCCTGCTCACCTGTCCTCACACAGCTCACCCGTGCTCACACAGCTCACCCGTGCTCACACAGCTCACCCATGCTCATACAGCTTGCTGGAGTCCGGTGCTTTAGCCCCGCTGGGTTCTCCATGAAGAGGGAAAGAGGAAAGGGAGCTGGGACACCACCACCCCGCCATACGGCTCTGCTTTTATAGAGGCCCAGATCTGTTAAGTCCCATGCCTAAAGGAACATGGTAAGAACCAAAATGAGAGGTGCCTGGGGTCTGGACATGGCCCAATCCCTGCATTTTCAAGTTGCCCAAGCACTCTCTAAGCTCACGGGTCAAGTCAGATTCCCATCTCCAGGCCCAGTCATTCAACAATACCACCTCTATCTGTTATGTAGCTATTTCTTCTCAACTGAAATACTCTCTCCTGGGGAGCCTGGGGCTCCTTAAGCCATAGGAAGTAAACAAAACCCACAACATCCTGAAATTTACAAGATTCACACACACACACACACACACACACACACACACACACACACACACACACCCCTCTCAGTTATATAAGCGGTAACAACTGTTGGTCATCTGTGACCAGCTGAACTGCCTGCAAGTTGTGTGAGCTGCTTTAAAGCCACTGCCACTCCTGAAAGCGATCCCTTCCCTACACTGTTGTAAGCCACTCCAATGAACTCACTGGTTCACTAAGTTAGACTGCAGCGGAACAATTTATCTGGTCTGTCTCTGGTGCTCTAACTGGTGAACAGACATTTGTCGGGATCTCCCTAAGAAAAGCCACACAACACCCTTACCCCATCCTCAGGAGGAACGTATCAGCCTTCTGAGAGCAGGAAGGACTCAATTAAGTAGGCTGCCTCCCAGGCCTGAGGCAGCTGATCATCATCCGTGGGAGGACCAGGCACCTGCTGGGGAAGCTAAGACTCACTCCGTACAGAGACCCCTCAAGCGAGAGGCAGCTAAGAATTTCACAGGGTTTGCAAAGCGTGAGCCAGGTGAAGAGAGAGCCTCGTGGCAGGAAGACATGACACATGTCACAGAGTACCACAAGCCAAGAGAGCAGGCGGCTGTCACTCACTGGCAGATACTGCCTGGAGTCCATCTAGGGATGGTGTCTGACGACCAAGCTAAGTTCATGGGGAAAGATGCTAGAGTTGGCATTGGGAGTGGCGAATGTGCTCGTGACTCAGTTGTTCTATCAAAGCTGGGCCTCATCTGGCCGTATTCCAGGTTCCCTGAAGCGGTATTTGGGTCTTCTGGTGAGTGGGTGGAAGCAGGGACATGAAGGAGACTGGTGAAGCTGGCCTCATAGAATCAACGAGGAGAGGTGAATGGCAAGAGGCTGACCAAAGGGGCTGAGGGTGGAGTAAGGGGAATGCTGTTCTGGAAGTGAAGTTAGAGGGTCTTCCAAAGGAAGAAAGACCGGGATTCAGCAGACACATTGGAAAGGGGCAAGAAGAGAATCCTGACAGTGGAGGCCAAGGGGCCTGCACCAGGAACTGGCTTGAGAGAAGAATCTGATTTAGAACATGCTGCTGCTCAGGGTAAATGTGTAGAGTCGGAGAACCCTAGCAAGAAATGGCAAGGCCAGAGCATGGCTGGAGGACATTCTGAGCTCTTCCCCTAACCCCGGCAGAAAGTCTCTCTGCCTGTCCAATTTCCTTTCTTTGGCAGTAGCCTGAAGGTCAGCCTCTGTCAGTCTGGCTAGAGATACCGAAGCTGAATCCCTTCACTCTCTGGGGTTGCTCTGTGGTCATCCCCTGCATTTGTTCATTCCAGCCCCACCCCTGGGGGGGGCGGGGGAGGACGCTGCAGCAGGTTCAAGGCCCACAGATGTGCAGCCCTGGAAACTGCCCCTAAAGATGCCTGCCAGCGGCCTCCAGATCGCAGCATGACAGCCATCAGCTGACAATCGAGGCTGGCCCGAGTCCCTGAAGTGCTCCTGCATGCAGCTCTGAGTGGGCAGGAGGGCCTGCCTCAGCTCTGCTGGCAAAGTTACAGAGACTTATGGGCACACTGACTGAGCTCCTTACCACCTGCTCACACCTGTGGGTAGCACTTCCGCCCCTCCAAGTGACATCTGGGACTTTTGGCCGGAGAACAAGAAGACAAGTAGCCTGTGAGCTCAGAAGAGCCACAAAACCTAGGCTTGGCCCTCCTTCTCCCATTTGGCTACTCTAGTCACAGAACACCAGCTCTTGGGCACAGTGCCTCAGGTGCCATGTTGGCTTTTCAGCCTACAGGGAGATGGCATGGCACAGTGCCTCGGGCATCTTGGTCTCTGTTCAGCTTGCTGTGAGATGGCATGGCTCAGTGCCTCAGATACCATGGTGCCTTTTCAGCCTACTGGGAGATGCATGGGCTCAGTGCCTCAGGCACCATGGTGGCTGTTCAGCTTGCTGGGCGATGGCAAGTATCCAAGCCTTTCCTACCCCAAACCTGCAGATTTCTACTCAAAACATTCCACCCCAGACATTCCTTTATGGGTCTGTTGGGCTCCGATGCACACGGCAGAGTATTTATTATGCAAGGACTAGTACTTGTACATTGATAACACCCACCTACCCAAGCAGAAAGCTTGGCCTGTAAGCTTGTAAGGGACAAAGTACTGTAGTCATCACTTCACAGAGTATGAATTCCGGAAATGAAGAAATGGCTTAGAGGTTAAGAGCACTTGCTGCTCCCTCAGAGGACCAGAGTTTGGTTCCCAGCATCCACACTAGAGAGTTCACAATTGCTTATAACTCTCAGCTTAGGGGTAGGGGTAGGGGGATATGATTCTCCCTTCTGGCCTCTTCTGGTACCTGCATTCACATGCATGTACTCACACACACACATATTAAAAATAAAAGAAATCTTCTTCAAAATTCAGCTTCAGATAAGCCAATAAATGGACCCATCAGTGGTAAGGCTGGGACTTGAACCTGTGAACCAATGACTCAAGGTCTCTACCTCCCTCCACTTCATCCCCCATCACTCAGTAGCCCAGGCTGGTGTCATGCTCCTGCCTCAGCCTCTGGAGTGCTGAGATTACAGGTTGTACACTACCACATCCCACTAAAACTATCTTTTGTGAGAAACCTTAAAATAGATTCATAAATGTGTTCTCACGAGGAATTTTGGAAAACACAATGAAGGTGAAAGCCACAGGCTCCAAGGGTAACTCGTCCAAATTTAGAAAAATGATAATTGAAAGCAGTGTAATTTTAATGGAGATATTCGTTATGAGATATCTAGTTTACTCATGCTTTCCAGCGTTTGGGGGGGGGTCTATTTTAGTTACTGTATCCCTGGAAATAGTTCCATCAGACCATAGTAAAGATTATTTCACTGTATGTAAAAGTTTGCCCCTGGAAGAACTAAACTGTTTGGACAGAGATCTCTTTCAGAAAATCTGCTGGTTTCCAGCTCTCAGAGTGGCCAGCTGAGCTAAAATCAGGAAAAGATGGACAGTTTATTCCATTCTGAACGTAAAGAGTGTGATGATCCTGTACTATAATACAAAGGATTGGACTCCGTTATAGTGATACGGCCAAGACCGCTCTGAGTTTAACTGCACTCCACATATGGTAAAAACAAGTGGGGAAGTTCATAACCGTCCACTGGAGACATCAATACTGGGCAGTGACCTGTCACTTCAATCACTTTGCACATTAAAATGTTTAGTCCAGCTTGTCTCTTTGGAAATGTGGGCGGAAGGTCTGCTGCCTGACGGGAGCTGTCGCTTTCCACAACAGCCTTCAGGAGCAGAGTGGGGTTTGTTCCGATGGCCAGATGCTATTGGCAGCACTGCCTGAGGGCAGAGGCTGAACGTGTGTAGGTTCTCAGTCGGAAAAATGCACACTCAGTTTGGTAACCCTGTGGCTAACAGCCTGTCATGGGAAATTCATGACAGGTCCTTCCCCAACACATGCCGTATCGCTGTCTCTCTTCCCCAGGGTTTTCTCTCTCATGGTCTGTGGAATTCAGCCACCACTGATTTTTTTTTATTCTAGTGCTTGATACTGCTCCAGAACAAGGTTTAAAGTTTTTTTTTAAAGCCCAGCACTGCAGCAGACAGTGGTATTCACTATTGCATCTCTCTCTCTCTCTCTCTCTCTCTCTCTCTCTCTCTCTCTCTCTCTCTCTCTCTCTCTCTCTCTCTGTGTGTGTGTGTGTGTGTGTGTGTGTGTGTGTGTGTGTGTGTGTGTGTGTGGTTTGAGGAGTGATATTTTGTGGGCATGGGAATCAGAAGTCAGCTTCAGATGCCGTTCCTCAGGAACCATCCTCTTTGCTTTTGAAACAGTCTCTCACTGGGACCTAGAGCTTACCGAGCAAGTGAGGCTGACTCCCAACAGTGAGCCCCAAGGATCCACCTGTCTCCCTAAGTGCTGGAATTTGAAGTACATGCCACCATGACTAGTTTTTTTTTTTTTTTATGTGATTCCTGGGCATTGAACTCAGGTCCTCACACTTGCATAGAAATTTTAACAAAACTTGTATCACTCATTTGTGCGAGTATGTGTGCATGCACTAAAGTACCAAGATGCATGTGTAGAGGTCAGAGGGCAACTTGCAGCAATCTCTTCTCTCCTTCCACTGTGTGGGTCCCTGGAATATGACTCAGGTCACCAGGCTCCACAGCAAGTGCTTTTACCCACTGAGTCGTTCCAGAGGCCCTCACAGCAAGTCTTTTACTGACCAACTTTTCTCCTCAATCGCCATGAAAAGTCTTTAAGGCTCAGGTCTTCAACTCTAGTTGACAGTCAAACATGATATTACTTATTTAAATGAAGTGTTTTAAATATTTGAAGCATTAAATATTTAAATATTGACCCTGCATTTCATTTGATGAAACATCATGTATATCAGTTTCCTAAAGAGGATGCTGGTCTGGAGATTTTAATTCTACAGATGCAATTTATCCTAATAATTTTCTAAGACAGGCCTCCCCTCAAAGCACTAAAGCTAAGCCTCTCATCTAAGACGAACCGTCAACCTCGGTGAGATCAGAAACCATGCAGTGTATTTATTTAATCAGTTCTGTTCCAGGGATGTGCTGTTTAAATGGAAACCTAAAAGACAGCAGAAGACATTCAGTCAAAAAAAATACAGGAGGCATATTCCAGCCCGTGGACACACCCTGCAAAAGGCCCCCAGGACAAGGGAGAGAGACATGTCTAAAAGTGGATGCAGTCATCAGGGTAGCAGGAATGGGTCCAAGTCAGGAGACCATATCTGACCTAGGTCCCAGGAAGGGCCTATGAGGAGCTACAGGTGAAAATAGAAAATTGGGAGAGAGGTCAAGAGGAGGATGGATGCGAGACTGCCCCAGGGGCCAGCAGAAAGGCCATCACAGAGATGTTTATCTCTGCTTCTGATGTTCAGCATACCAGGGCGAGACTTTACTACAAAATGAACGCTTTATGAAGTGACCCCTCTAGTCTTTTTCCATTTGACCAATTTTAGATCAGCTACCTAGGATTTTCTTTTCCCTTTGGAAGGTAATCCTGTGTCTTTCTCTCCGTGTGTGTGTGTGTGTGTGTGTGTGTGTGTGTGTGTGTGTGTGTGTGTGTGTGTGTGTAAATGATCTTACAGAGCAAAATTAAAAAGAAAGCAAATCCTCAAGGCACTACATAGCCAGGAGTTTTGGTATTTGAAATGCCTCTCCCGTGTCTACCCCACCCCCACCCCCACCCCACATCCCCACAAGTCACAGCAGGCAGTGAACTATGAAGAGATGTTTAAGGAAGAGCAGGTCCAGGTCAAGTATCTTGCCCAGCGACTTCACTGGGGTTGGGATTTGGGTAGTGGAGGCTAGGGGGCAGTGGTTTGTCTCTGTGGCAGTATGCCTTGTTGCTGGTGTGGTGAAGGCCCAAGTGTGATGGAAAAGCTCTGGTGTTCTGGGGTGGGGGTGGGGTGGGTAATAAAGCAGAAATAGAATCTGCGGCGAGAGCCACCCACGAGTCCACACTGGGGAGACAATGGGCCCTTTGGGTGGAGGTCCTGGCCCACCTCCTCCGAGGGAGCCCCCGCCAAGTGGACAGATGGACCACTGTAATCTTACTCCTTCTTCCCCAGACCCCTCGTCCGCGGTGACAGCGTTTCCCCCATTACCTAAACCAGTCACCACGCTCAGCCCCCAGGCCCCGCGCATCCTCGCCGAGTGGAGGGAGTGCCCATCTTGGCCCCTGCACTCGACCGCCCATGGCAGAGAGCGCTCAAACGTTCCCGGGGTCCCCCCAGCTCCCGATGAGGACCGGCGAGGCAGGGGACCTCCGCAGCCTCTCGGGGCCTCGGGCCACTTACCGCTGGGGCTGGGGAGTGTCGCAGGGCGCGGCCGCGCCCGAGTCAGGCAGCGAGTGCGCGCCGGAGCCTCGCGTCAGCACCACGGCCAGCTCCAGGCTCCGCGCCGCCGTGGGGGGCGGGCCTCCGGGCACCCGCGCGCAGAACCAGCCCCGGCTGCTCCGCGCTCGCTCGCTCGCTCGCTCGGGAGGGAGGGAGGGCGGGGACGGGAGGATGCTGGCGACCTGCGGAGGAGTGCGAGGGGACTCAGCCGCCGCCGCGCCGCCGCCACCCAGAATCGCTCGGCTTGCTGGCTTTGTTCTTGGTTCTTTCTCTCTCTAGCTTTCTCCCTCTACCCACTCAGCCGCTCCCATAATGCTGTGTGTGGGTTTTGCATCCTTAAAACCCTGTGGTCCCTAGTCCGGGGGTGGGGGGGTCCTATAGCCCAGGAGACTACAGGTGTGGGTGCCCCGCCCCCCTGTATCCCGGAGGTCCAGGGCCGGCTGACTCCTGCTCTCTCCAAAAGGCGATGTCACACGCAGCCTCTCTAGCAGTCCTAGTCAAGAGTCAGGATTCTGAGGCTTGGAAAGAAGGGGCAGGCCAGTGCAGGAAGGCAAAGAATCTTCCTTATGTACCCTTCTTGGAGCTGATTACATTATGACCAAGGAGGGGGGAAAAAAGAGGCGTTTCCCTTCCACGCACTTACTGTGTGGTCTGCTGGTGCTGTCCCCTGGCGCAGCCTTGAAGAGGAAGCATAAGCGATGTGGGGAGCCCCTTCCGCAGAGCTGAGAACAAGGGTCCGTAGGCTGGGTTCAGTGTCCAGGGCTAGGCTGGCGAGCAGAGATAAAGGGTGGAGTAAACTGCACTACGATTTAGGTGGTCTTGTCGCCCGCCCCAGTGGAGCCAAGAGTGGGCAGCTCAGTGCCAGTGTGTGTGAAAGGCTGATCTCAACAGGGGGCTAGCCCAAGGGTGAGTAAGCACAGGCAGAAAGAGCAGTCGCAGAGGAGACAGTTAGGTTTGGGCTGAGGACCAGGGAAAAGAGGGCCTGGTGACTGACAAGGGCCACGCCTTTCCTTGAGCCAGCAGGCTCCCTCTCTGTCCTACATATGAAAAGCCCCAGCAAGCCAGGTATGGCAACCCTTGAGTCTGCGGTGCTTTGGTAGGTCACAGCCAGTTGAAACTGCTCTATAATTAGTCAACAGAGTCCAGAGGGACTCCCTGACAAGATTTGACAGCCAGAACGACCCTCCACTTCTAGATGAGCTGCACAATTGAATCTTCTTTCTACCCAGTGACTAACTTAGCTACACACACCTCCCTTACGTGTGTGGTGTATGTGTGTCTTTGTGTGGATGGGTGGATGCACATGGACATGAACTGCAAATGCCCATGAAGGCCAAAGACTGAGTGTCTTCCTCAAGGACTCTACATTGTCATTATTTCGGGACAGGGTCTCTCACTGAACCCCTGGACAAGAGCTCATGCATTTAGTTGGACTGGATGGTCAATGAGCACCAAGGTTCGTCCCATTGCCCACCACCACCACCACACCCCCAGCCATGGGTTACAGACCTGCACTGTGGCACCTGGATTTTATGTGGGTGCCGGAGATTCAAGCTCAGATCCTCATGATGTGTGTCAGGCACTTAAGTGGCTGAGCTGTCTCCCACACCTTCTGCTCTATTTGAACTGTGACTGTATCTGCGTTCTCTCTTTTCTTTTCTGACACTGGTTCCCTGGTGACTTGACTGTCCTGAGGGCCAGTTTTCTGGCCATTCTTCTTTCAGATCTCCCACACTCTGAGACCAGAAGTCTATAGCATGGGTGGGTTCAGCTGCATGGGTGGAGTTAGAGTCCAAGTCTGCAGCCGTGAGGGGCCCACATCTAACGGATCTTGGGGGAGGGGAAGTCTGTTTTCCCATGTTTCTTTATGTCTCTGTGGCATGGGTCCTCCCCCACACCCAACAACCCAGTACAGACTGGGACTCCTGAACCTTGCTTCTGACAGACAGTCCCAACTCTGCCAGCCTTCCTCAGCAATATAGAGTTCCACTTGATAAGATTTTGAATTTTTATTGGCAGTTAAGTGAAGAACCAGCCTGCCTCCATCTTAGGCTTAAAAGCCATCTTATAGTAAAGGCAAACTAGGTTCATTCCTGTTTGTGATTAAACCTCTGTTTTCTCAAAGATTGGGCCATACCCCACCTGTAATCTTAACTACAAGCAGTTCTGTACTGCCTGTTCCAGGAAACAGCAGCCATGTCTTGGTTTCAAAATGCTGTTTATAATTATCTTGCAACCCTACCTTTGTTTAAAAAGGTTTTATGACCACCTATGACTACCTTCTTATGACTACCTGTTGTTATGACTACCTTGTTATGCCCACCTTGCAACCATGTCTTTATTTCAGGAAGGACTAACTTGTTAGGCTTATATTCTGCTCCTGTAATCATGCCTATTTTGCCCAGCAAATCCCCCATTCAGAAACCCCCTACCTCTGAGCTATAAAAGTTTTGTGTTCCTCACATCCAATACTGACCTCTTGAACCCCACCTTAGGGGAGGCAGCCCTTGTACATGAATTTTAAAAAGCATGTTTTAATTAATTTGGCCATGATGATTCAGGTCAGTGGACTTTCTTCTCCCATCTTTGGGTTTAACATAAGTATGTGTTTATTTATTCCTAGGTAACATGTTTTGATATCATTGAAATGTCTTTACTAAATTTGCATTAAAATATTATAAATAAATTGACATTACACACCGAAATATTTCAGTATTTATTTTAAAAATAGTATTCTTATACTAACAATATCCCTAGAGGCATCTGCTATCAAAATCCACACAGTCAAAGGGGGAAAATATAAATAAATTAGCAATAGTAGATTGATACAATGGAATAACTTTTGCTGAGTGTTTTTTTTAAATCTATACATGCAGACATAAAGAAACATGGCGAAAAGCTAACAACTGGAATTTCAACTAATGGTGGGAACTTTGTTTTCAATGTTTTCTGTTTTCTCAGGTTCATTATTAAACAGAATAACAATGTCTTCTTTCCACAATTGTCACAAACTTCAAACTCACAGGCACATGGTCTACACATCATGTGGTGAGGATCCTTCTCTGTCTCTTCTTCTAACATAATTTTTTATTGATTCTTTAGGAATTTCCCATCATGCACCCCAATCCCACTCATTTCCCAGTCCCTCCATGTCTGCCCTCCACCCTGTAGCCTCCCCCTAAAAGAGAAAATAAAAATAAGTAATAAAAGTAAAACATTTTGCTCCTTCATCTTTCCCGCCTCTCCATCATAAATTCTTTTGTCCTCCTGGCTTTGGGAGATACAGTGTGTCATGCATTACGCCCTTTTACCCAAACAATTTCACTTGCAGATGCTCATTGCAGAGTTGTTGGTCTGATTCAAGGACTCTGGCTCCCAGTACACCATCAATACTGGACCCTCACCGAAACTTCTCCTGGATAACCTGCTGTTGCAGTCATGGAGATCCTGCAGCTACAGTTCCACAGGATCAGTCTCTCCATGTGCTCCAGCAGGTCATAGATGAGGTAGATGTTGGGGTGGGCCAATTCAAAGTGCTGGATATGGGCCTGAGTGGTAGCTGAGTTGGTCATTCTAGGCTTCCACTGGGATTGACCCCTTCAGGCAAGGGTCAGGACAGCTCTTCTGTGCCCAGACCGTTGAGGCCAGCTCTCCTGAGCACATGGTGAGGGCTGGGACCAGCTCTCCCGTTGGGGTGGTCGGCCAGGGGGTAGTGGTTCTCCCACGACTGTCAAAGGCTAGCGCCAGCTCTCCCGTACACACACCATTGGGGCCAGTTCTCCTGGGAGAGGGGGATGCTCTCCCACTGAGGTGGCTGGTGAGGGCCTGGACCAGTTCTCCTGTGCCCAGGCCACTAGGGCTAGTTCTCCCTGGCCCCCGATGATAACACAGGCCATGGACATCATCCCAGACCCCAGCTACAGTAGTCCCACAGACCCAGACATGGCTCTGGGCTGCAGCTCAGGCTGGACATTAGCATGGCCTCAGGTGGCAGCATAGGCCACCCATATCAGCCTGTTCCTCACCACTGTTGCGTCTTCAGTTCCGTCTTTCTCCACAGTACACGAACCACTCCACCTCACCTTGTCTCCATTTCTTCACCATATACCTGCTCATCATAGTGGCACGCGCCTGCCCCGACCACAGGGCCCTGGGTGGGCCTGTGACTGTCTTTCCCCCGTCTCTGTCTCTTATGAACACATGTGCCACACTTTTTAGGCTTTGACAGTGGTTTGTATTTGCTGTATTTTTGCACCACAAGAATTTATTTTTAAATTACTTCTTAAATTGTAATTAAAATATAATTACATCACTTCTCCTTTCCCTCTTCTCCCCCAACCCCTCCCATATGCCCCCTCCCACTCAAATTGATGATCTCTTTTTCTTTATTATTCTTACATGCATAAATATATAAGTACAACCTGCTCAAACTATATATATGTATACATACATATATACATATACATACATACATACATACATACATACATACATACATATATATTTGGGTTTTTGAGACAGAGTTTCTCTTTGTAGCTTTTGGAGCCTGTCCTGGAACTTACTCTGTAGACCAGACTGGCCTCAAATTCACAGAGATCCCCCTGCCTCTGCCTCCTGAGTGCTGGGATTAAAGGCATGCGCTACTACCGCCTGGCCAGACTATTTATTGTTGCTTGTGTATCTATGATTTCAGAGCTGGCCATTTGATATTGGATAACTGATTAGGAAGCTCTTCCCTGGGAGAGATGAAGTCTCCCTCTCTCAGCAGTCACTAGTTTTCTGTAGTTCATCATTTAGGGGTAGGGCCCTGTGAGATTTTTTTTCCCTCATGTTAGCATATCAGTTGGTGTTTTCATTGTTGAGTCTTGCTTAAGCAGCCACACTGTTGAGTGATCATGGGCATAGCTTTCCTATCATTTCTAGTAGGCCATCTTATAGCAGATTGCCTGGCCCCCCTTGCCTGTTAAAATCTATCTGCTCCCTGCTCTTTGATTTTCCCTGAGCCATGGGTACAAAGATTTGTATTGTAGGTGTATTCCTTAGGGTTAGCACCTCACTATCAGTCAATCTATGCATTTTGGCCAGCTGTGGTTTT